AACGTGGATTTTTTTAGAATTTTTTTTTTTTTTTTCAAAAAAAAAATGGGTTTGATATGGAGAAGAAAATTTTTTTGTAAAAAAAAAATACTTTTCAAGGCCTGTCACTAAAAAATATTTTTAAAAAATTGTTTTTACGAATATAGGCCTTGATTTTTTAAGAAAAAAATTTAACTATTGTGGATTTAAATAAAAAATTGTTCGTGCAGGTCCACGTCTTCGTATAGCCCCCATATAACTGTACCTCCCGATATTCGATATTTTAATGATTTTAGCGACATTATTCACCGGAATTGTTTCAAATATCGCATTTAGAGTTCGTAATGGATACTACAGCCTATGACAGAAAATTGTCTGTGCAGGTTCACGTCTTCGTATAGCCCCCATATAACGGTACTCCCCGTTCGGTATTTTGATTTCGGTATTTTGATGATATTAGCGACATTAATCAACGGAATTGTTTCAAATTTCGTATTTGATGTTCGTAATAAATACTGCAGCCTATGACAGAAAATTGTCTGTGCAGGTCCACGCCTTCGTATTGCTCTCGTATGACGGTACCTACCGATATTTGGTATTTTGATGATATTAGCGACATTAATCACCGGAATTGTTTCCAATTTTTTATTTGAAGTTCGTAATGAATACTGCAGCCTAAGACAGAAAAGTGTCTGTGCAGGTCCATGTCTTCGTATAGCCCCCATATAACAGTACCTCCCGATATTCGGTATTTTGATGATTTTAGCGACATTATTCATCGGAATTGTTTCACATTTGGTATTTGAAGTTCGTAATGGATACTACAGCCTATGACAAAAAATTGTCTGTGTAGGTCCAAGACTTCGTATGGCCCTCACATAACGGTACATCCCGATATTCGGTATTTTGATGATTTTTGCGACATTATTCGCCGGAATCGTTTCAAATTTGGTATTTGATGTTCGTAATGGATACTACAGCCTATGACAGAAAATTGTCTGTGCAGGTCAACGCCTTCGTACAGCCCCAATATAACAGTACCTCCCGATATTCGGTATTTTGATTATTTTAGTGACATTATTCACCGGAATTGTTTCAAATTTGGTATTTGAAGTTCGTAATGAATACTTCAGCCTATGACAGAAAAGTGTCTGTGCAGGACAGAAAAGTGTCTGTGCAGGTCCACGTCTTCGTATAGCCCCTATGTTACGGTACCTCCCGATATTCGGTATTTTGATGATTTTAGCTACATTATTCAACGATTTTTTTTTTAAGTTTTGCATTTGAATATTGTAATGGCTTATAACAAAAATTGCCTTTGCAGGTCCACGTCGTCGTATGGACCCTAATATGACGGCTACATTCGGTATTTTTAAGATTATAACAGATTTTTTAACGGAGTGTATTTTTTATTTTTTTTTTTTTTAATTTTTTGAAAATTGCCAAAATTGTTCCAAATGGTGGAGGGTATTCAAAGTTCGGCTTACAGCTTTTTTACTTGTTTAAGAAAAAAATTTTAAGGCTCTGATTTTTTAGATATTATTTTTGTTGGTTTATTATCTTTTTGAAGTTTGTTTAAAAAAATAATCCCATAAAAGCCAAGTTAGAAAAAGGGTCTAGAAAATAAAATTCTCAAAGAATCCACATTGGGGATAGGCCTTGGAAAATATTATTTAAAAATCTCCATCGGTGATCACCCTTGCAAAAAAATTAAAAAATCTGAGTTTTCATAGGACTTAAAAAACATATTCATTCCACTTTGGCGAGAGGCCTTCAAAATTTCTTAGAAAATCCACCATTAAGATGGTGGAATTAAAATTCCAGGTTGCCGATGTGCCTTGGAAAAATATTCATTAATAAACCCACAATGGTGAAAGGTCTTGGCAAATATAAATATTTTTTTTTTTTTTCTTAAATCTTCCGAAAAATTTTTTCAAGAAATAACCTTTAAAATGCCACGTTGGCGAGAGGACTAGATGAAATTCTTAAAGAATCCACCTTGGAGATGGGCCTTAAAAAAAATATTCATTAATAATACCTGACGGTGAAAGCCCTTGAAAAAAAGTTATAAAAAAATTCTTGTTGGCCATGGGTTTAAAAAAAATATTCATTTAAAAGTCCACGTTGGCGAGAGGCCAAGATAAATCTTCAAAAATATTCTTTAAAAATCCTCATTGGTGAGAGCCCATGAAAAAAATAATAAAAAATTAAAATTGGCTAAGGGCCTTAAAAAATGTAATTAAAAAGTCTACATTGGTGTTAAATCTTGGCAAAAATATTCTCCAAAATCTTCCGAAAAATATTATCCAAGAAATCAACTTGGCCTTGAAAAAATATTTTGTTTTTAAGATCCACCTTGGCAATAGCCCTTGAAAAAGGAATGAATAAAATGTTCCAATTAGTGATAGGGCTTGAATCGTACGAGTACATTAACAGGTAAAAAAGCAGCTAAATTCGGCCGAGACGAACTTGAAAAATTTAAAAAACTTCCGGAAACTAACACTTAAATGAAAACCGTTATATGGGAGATATACGAAAACTATTTTTTTTTTTGTCATAGGCTGTAGTACCCATTGCGAACTTCAAATACCAAATTTAAAACAAATTCGGTGAATATATCATAAAAATACCGAGTTTCGGGAGGTAACGTCATATGGGGGCTATACGAAGACGTGGACCTGCAAACGATTTTTTTTGCCATATGTTGTAGTGCTCATTAAGATCTTCCATGCGAAATTTGAAATGATTCCCATGAATAATGCCGCTAAAATAATAAAAATACTGAATGTCGGGAGGTACCGCTATATGGGGGTCTATACGAAAACGTGGACCTGCATACGAATGTTTCTGACAAAGGTTGTATAACCCATTGCGAACTTTAAATATGAAATTTGAAATAATTCCGGTAAATAATGCCGCTAAAATAATCAAAATACCGAATATCGGGAGGCTATACGAAGACGTCGACCTGCATACAAAATTTTTTGTCATAGGCTGTAGTCCCCTCTACGAATTTTAAATATGAAATTTGTATTAATTCCGGTAAATAATGCCGGTAAAATCATGAAAATTCCGAATATCGGGAGGTATAGATATATGGAGGTCTCTGCGAAAACGTGGACCGACATGGACCATTTACGAACTTAACCTGCCTATTGGTACACTATGCATGTATTAAAAATTTTCAATTCGTTCGGAAGCTAGAGTGATTTCCACAGACGGACGGAAATAGCTAGATCGTCTTAGAATACGCTGATCCTGAATATATATACTTTGTGGGGTCTATTATGAATATTTCGAGGAGTTACAAACGGAATGACAAAGCTAATATACCCTGCATAGAATGATGGAGGGTAAAAAAATAGTTTCAGATAAGAGCAACAAGGGCTATGATAGGCTTTAAAAAAAATTTCCAAAAAAAAAATTTCAAAAAAAAAATTCAAAAAAAAAATTCAAAAAAAAATTCAAAAAAAAATTTAAAAAAAATTCCTCAAAAAAATCCTTAAAAAAATCCACATTGTGTCCTAAAAAATCACGCTAGTGATGGGTCTTAAATAGTAGTCATTATAAAAATCCAGGCTGAAAAAAATCCTCAATGATGACAGGCCTTGAAAAATTATTCTCCCATAAATCCTCGTTAGTTATCAGCCTTTAAAAAATATTCTAAACAAATCTAATTGGTAATAGGCTTTCAAAAATATTTCGTGCAAAAAATAAGGTTGGAGATGGGTCTTGAAAAATTATTCTTTAAAAAATCCAAGATGATGATCCAACTTGAAAAAAAAATCCGCAAAAATCCATTTAAAAAAAGTCTTAAAAAATCAAAATTCCTGATTTAATAGATTTTTTTTTTTTCTAATTTTTTTCTTAAACTACACCTGTCCCTCCACCTACCACCAGTACCTCACAGATCAACCTTTTTTACACCTAGCCATTATGCCACCTACTCTTCAAAGACAAGACGAACAAAAAAAAATTGGAAATTTCCCACCTCCAACGAGCCGTGTGGTAATCATCTGATAACGGCTTCACAAAAAGTATCTCTGTCACATTGTTAGCTGTTTTTTTTTTTTGTCTGCCACTTCTTCTTCGTCTTCGGCTTTTATTTGTGAGCATTTCTTGCCTAACCGCCAACAAAGAAAGTTCGTCGTAATGTGGGGAAAATTAATTATTTGCCATGCCATGGCGTTTTAGGCCAAAATGCATTCATCTGCTCTGCCAGATGACGATAGAGCCGATAGTAAAATAGTCAGCCTGGCAGATGGGGGGAGGGGGGCAACAACAATGTAATGCCTATCAACATCGTGACATAGTTTTTGGTGGCAAACTGAAAAAAAAAAACGAAAACTCAAAGCAACAACAATAAAAAAAACCAAAAAAAAACAATTACGTCAAAGTAACAACGTCTGCACTTCTTGGCATCGTTTTTTTCCAAATTTACCACGGGCCAATGCGGTTTTTTGTGGGGTGACAGGGCGACAGATGGCTGGGTTTTTGTTGTTGTTGTTGATTAATCACGGGGCACCAAAAATTATTTAACCAAAAAACCAAATTGACTGGGTAGAAGGGGTTAATGCGTAAGGCAAGTGGGATTTGTAGAGTAATTTTTTATGTTGAGGCGGGAGGGAAAGGGGAGGGGAATAATAGTCTATGAAATGTTGACGCCTATCAAAAATGTCGATTTTTCGAAGATTTTGAGGGTCATTCCCTATATTTGCCCTGTTCCCGAACCTTCAAGAACCTACAGATTTTTCCTATTTTTTCAATATCCTAAAGAGAAAATCGGAAAAAAACTACTTTCCTGCAGTTTTGGACCGAGGCAATTATTTCTCCAGATTTCGTTTGGCCAAATATTTCCCAAGCGACCATCAATCAATTCATCAAATGACCTCCTGGATGCCAAACATTGATTCATTTTCCAGATTTTTTATTTCTTTCAAAATCCCAATTAATTTTCTGTCAAAGAAAAACAAAAATTGACACCATTAGTGCCCCACGACACGTAATAAAATCCCAACAGCTGCCAACAGAGATATCGGTTTATTGTTTTGCAACAACAAAAACCACAACAACACCAACAACACTTGAATGACAAATTCTAATCGGAAAGCAATTAATCAGCCGCCATCATCATTCCTCAATATCGGCTTTGGGAAACGATATCTGGGACATGATGTTGGCGCAGTAGCCAATCACCGTCATGCCGTCCACATTGGGAAAGCATTGACCCAAAAACTCCAACAGCATTGGTTGAGCCGAGACGACAGTGGCATAGTCGTCGTAGGAGATGACGCCATCCTTGTCGACATCGAATTTCTTGAAGAGCAACTCCACCATGTCCTGTGGGGGAAAGAGAAGGGGGAAGAAGGAGTGGGGGAGGAGGAGTGGTGGGAAAGGGTTAGATTATTTTGAAATCAAAAATGTATTACGGAATACCGATCTCAGTTCATTCACTTCATCCTCATCTTCGCCTGTGAAGAATTTCTCCACGGCCAGGGTGACAATTTCCCGATTCAGGGACCCCGTGTTGCCCACATTGTAGATCTGAAAAAAAGGGAAAAATTTAAGGATAAATTAAAAATTTCAATCCCACTTTCCGCTTCTCTCTTCCCATTTCACCTTCTCCCTTCCCCTTTCGCCTTCTCTCTTCCCATTTCGCCTTCTCCCTTCCCATTTCGCCTTCTCCCTTCCCCTTTCGCCTTCTCCCTTCCCATTTCGCCTTCTCCCTTCCTCTTTCGCCTTCTCCCTTCCCATTTCGCCTTCTCCCTTCCCATTTCGCCTTCTCCCTTCCCCCTTCCCCCTCCTCCTTCCCCTTCTCCCTGTCCCCCTTAACACTCTCACCTGAAAAGTAAACTTCATACGCTCCTCCAATTTGTGCGACATAAACACCGCAAACAACCTCACCCAGGCCACCGGATCAACTTCCTTCTTCAAATCCGATGTTATCAACAACAAAATCCTTTCAATGATTTGCAAATCATAGACCTTGAAGAGTACGGAAAATAGTTGATTGAATTGCTTGACAGTCATCGACCTGGCCTTGGGCCCATTGGCCAAGACGAATTTGTGATAGACCATTAGAATGCTCTGAACCTCCATTTCGGTGAACTGGGTCTGTTTTGACATTTGTTTGATTAGGTCGCGGTAAATGTTATTGAAACGGGTATTTTGGACATCGTCCAAGGTGGCATCAAGTTTGTACATGGCCAAAGGCAATCACAACAACAGCAGCAGCAACAACAACAACAAGTACGATGACAACGACAACAATGTGTGGAATATTGGAGATTCTTTTGAAAATAAAAAAAGAAGTAAATTGCAAGGCCGCCTGAATGTCTGTGAGGTAAAACAAAAATGTAAAAGGGGATTTTTTTCCGAAACGTCAGACGGGAGAGAATGGCCTCCTAGTGCTTGGGCCTTCCAGAATCATGAGTGCGGGTATATCATTCAAGATTTGTGGATGGACATATTTTTCCTGGGCCTCGAAAAGCTCTCATTGTCCAAATTTATGTTAGGCAAATTTACTCGCAGCCAGTCTCTGTTTGCAAGAGAGAGAGGGAGAGAGAGGCAAATTTCCTCGCAGCAAATCTCTGTTTGCAAGAGGGCGAAAGAGAGTGAGAGAGAGAGAGTCAAGGAATAGAAAAAATGCTCATTTTGGCAATTTTCGGACTATTCCTTTTTCGGACTATTCTCTTTATTATACCCTCAGCCATACGGCTAGAGAGGGTATACAGGGTGAGTTAAAAAAAAAACTGCAACAAAGTCAAATGCCATAATTTTTACATTTTTTTTTTAATTTCATTGAATGAAAGCAAAAAATATCGGAAATAGCATCGAATTTTAGAATAAGTTTAGATTTGTTCGAATTGGGCACCTTTGACATGAATTATGGCCTTCAAACGGCCAATGAAACCGTCACACGCTGCCCGAATGTTGCGGTCTGTGGTATTTTGGGCCATTCCCGGCAAAGCGCTAGCTTGAGGTTATCGACACTTTGGTATTTTTTGTAGTGCCAACCTTGCTTTCTAAAATACTCCAGACACAATAGTCGTCCAACGGATTGGTATCCGGAAATTTTGGTGACCATTGTGAAATGAAGCGAGGAACCTTACTTTGTAACCATTTTTGAATGGCGCGTTCTGAGTGCGATGTTGCTGATTTATGGTCGGGAATGTCCAATGTCTACGGCCAAAATGTTTGCGTGCCCAAGGCTTTAATACAACCTCCAGAATATTTTCGCGATAATATTCGGCATTTAATCTGATGCCACGGTCGATTAATACGAGCGGAGAGCGATCCTCGAGTGTTATGGCGGCCCACACCCACACCATCGCCATGGCCGGCGCTTGAGTTCTGGTGGCCAATCGAAGGTGCATATTTTCAGCTGACCTCTTTGGCAAGTAAACACGATCATTTTGTTTGGCAAGTTTATATGCTGCAAGTCTCTGTTTGCAAGAGAGGGAGAGAAAGATAGAGAGAGAGGGAGAGTTTCCAGGATTGGAAAAAATTGCTCATACTGTATTTTTATACCAGCCATAGGGGCTAGCCAGGCCATACGGCTAGAGAGGGTACATATCTTTCATTTGATACGGCCAAAACGTGCCTCATTGGAATTATGGTTTTCGACCCTAGGTCTCTTTGGACCAAATCCATTTCAGGACATTTGGAGTCGATCTAGGGATGTTCGTTCGTCCGTCCTTCTGTCTGTCTGTTTGGCTGGCTGACTCGTGCCCACGATAACTCTCAAAGGGAGTATGCGATTTGCTTCAAACTCTGTGCAGCGTAATATTATTATCAAACTTATATGAAGTTCGGAGATGGGCAATATCGGTCCACTCCTTCTGGTACCTCCACCACACAAGGTCGAAATTTGCAAAAAAAAAAAAATATTTTACTGCACAGAAAGAGAAAAGATAATCCGATTTTGCCAAACTTTGCAAATCCTAATATTTGCGTCAGTGCTAGGTCGAAAATGCGAAAATGGACAATATCGGTCCACTCCTTCAAGTACCTCCCCCACAAAGGTTCAAAATTTTAAATAATTACAACTCTCATAAAATGTGATATAAGCGTCCAATTGTCTTCAAATTTTACACATCCCAATAATTTTATTAACCCAAGGTCTGGTGTGAATATGGAATATATCGATCCACTCCTTCTGGTACCTCCAACACAAATGGTCGAAATTTTCAAAAAATATATATTTTCTGCATAGAAAGAGAAAGGATAATCCGATTTTGGCCAAACGTTGCAAATCCTAATATTTGCGTCAGTGCTATGTCTGGTGCGAAAATTGGCAATATCGGTCTACTCCTTCTGGTACCTCACCCACAAAGGGTCAAAATTTTGAATATCCATGAAGCTTACAAAGACCCCAAATTAACATTCGATTCCATTCAGACTTGGCACATCTCAGTATTTTCATCATCACAAGATCTGTTGTAAAGATGGTGCAGATCGGACCATTTTTTCTGGTACCTCCCCCACAAAGAGTTAAAGTTTTGAATAACCAAAACGATCTTAAAATCCGAAATAAGCATCCGGTTCTCTTCATATTTCACACAGCACAATAATTGTATTAACCCAAGGTCTGGTGTTAAGATGGAATATATTGGCCCACTCCTTCTGATCCTCCCCCACAAAGGGTCAAAATTTTGAATATCCATGAAGCTCATAAAACGACAAATTAACATCCGATTCCATCCCAGACTTGGCACATCTCAATATTTCCATCAACACAAGATCTGTTGTAAAGATGGTAGGGTCGGACCACTCCTTCTGGTACCTCCCCCACAAAGGGTAGAAAATTTTGAATACACGTGAAGCTCATAAAAACCCCAAATTAATATCCAATTCTATTCAGACTTTACACATCTCATTATTTCCATCAACACAAGATCTGTTGTAAAAATGGTAGAGATCCGCCCACTCCTTCTGATACCTCCCCCACAAAGGGTCAAAATTTTAAATGTCCATGAAGCTCATAAAACGCGAAATTAACACCCGATTCCATTCCAGACTTGGCACATCTCTGTATTTCCATCAACACAAGATCTGTTGTAAAAATGGTAGGGTTCGGACCATTCCTTCTGGTACCTTCCCCACAAAGGGTCAAAATTTTGAATATTCATGAATCTAATAAAACGCCAAAAAACCATCCGCTTCCATTCAGACTTGGCACATCTCAATATTTTTATCAACACAAGATTTGTTGTAAAAATGGTAGAGATCGGACCACTCCTTCTGGTACCTCCCCCACAAAGAGTCAAAGTTTTGAATAACCAAAACGATCATAAAATCCGAAATATGCCTCCCGTTCTCTTCATATTTCACACATCACAATTTTTTTATTGACCCAAGGTGTGGTGTAAAGGTGGAAGAGATCGGACAATTTCTTCTGGTACCTCCCCCACAAAGGGTCAAAATTTTGAATAACCATGAAGCTCATAAAACACCCAAATTAATATCCGATTCCATTCAGATTTGGCACATCTCAATATTGTCATCAACACAAGATCTGTTGTAAAAATGGTAGAGATCGGACCATTTCTTCTGGTACCTCCCCCACAAAGGGTCGAAGTTGAATAACCAAAATGATCATAAAATCCGAAATAAGCATCCGGTTCTCTTCATATTTAACACATCACAATATTTTTATTAACCCAAGGTGTGGTGTAAAGATGGTAGAGATCGGAACGTTTCTTCTGGTACCTCCCCCACAAAGGGTCAAAATTTGGAATATCCATGAAGCAAATAAAACGCGAAATTAACATCCGATTCCATTGAAACTTGGCACATGTCAATATTCCCATTGACACAAGATCTCTTATACACGATGGTAGAGATCGGACCATTCCTTCTCGTACCTCCCACACAAAGGGTCAAAGTTTTGAATAACCAAAACGGTCATAAAATCCGAAATAAGCATCCGGTTCTCTTCATATTTCACACATCACAATATTTTTATTAACCCAAGGCCTGGTGTAAAGATGGTAGAGATCGGACCATTTCTTCTGGTATCTCCCCCACAAAGGGTCAAAATTTTGAATATCCATGAAGCTCATAAAAACCGCAAATTAATATCCGATTCTATTCAGATTTTGAACATCTTAATATTTCCATCAACACAAGATCTGTTGTAAAAATGGTAGAGATCGGACCATTTCTTCTGGTACCTTCCCCACAAAGGGTCAAAATTGTAAATAATTATAACTCTTATAAAATCCGAAAAAAAGCATCCGGTTCTCTTCATATCTCACACATCACAATATTTTTATTAGCCCAAGTCCTGGTGTAAAGATGGTAGAGATCGGACCATTTATTCTGGTACCTCCCCCACAAGGGGTCAAAATATTGAATATCCATGAAGCTAATAAAACGGCAAATTAACATCCGATTCATCCCAGATTTGGCACATCTCAATATTTCCATCAATACAAGAAATCTTGTAAATATGGTGGAGATCGGACCACTCCTTCTGATACCTCCCCCACAAAGGATCAAAATTTTGAATATCCGTGAAGCTCATAAAACCCCCAAATTAATATCCGATTCCATTCAGATTTGGCACATCTCAATATTTTTATAAACACAAGATTTGTTACAAAGATGGTGCAGATCGGACCACTCCTTCTGGTACCTCTCACACAAAGGGTCAAAATTTTGAATATGCCTGAAGCTCATAAAACGCGAAATTAACATCCGATTCCATTCCAGACTTGGCACATCTCAGTATTTTCATCAACACAAGATCTCTAATTCACGATTGTAGAGATCGGACCATTGCTTCTGCTACCTTCCCCACATAAAGATCCATCCATAGGAAGCCAGCCGACGGCTTTAGCCAGTCAAAAAAAGCGTTTTTTGTATTCTCACCTAAAGGAGCATAGGGTGAACAAATATAAGTTATGGGCCGACATTTAACTAAGTCAAGCTAAAACTTTTTCTCACTTAAGCCAGTAAAAAAGGCTCCACTGTGCTCGTGATTTACATAAATATCTCAGTTCGCAATATCAATTATAGCAATTAACATTTTGAATAACGTTGTTCGCTGGATTTTTTTTTTTTTTTTTCGTTTTCAATCCAGTTTTGAATTCAAATTTCAAAATAAATCTCAAATTGTTCGGCCATAAATAAAAGAAAGTCCGCAAATAAAAATTTTGCCATACCGTATTAATTTCGGTCCATTGCAAATTATTAACAATTACCACACTGATGCTAATATCGAGTGTGAGATTATATATATATATATATATATATATATATATATATATATATATATATATATATATATATATATATATATATATATATATATATATTATAACAAAATT